CAGCTGGAACCACAGCTCTTGAGGTTCCAGAAATTGTGGTGGACCTGGACCATAAGGGCTAATGCAAAAATGCKYAACCTGGYTTTGAGCCCTGGCTGGGCCAGGTGGTGCAAAAACACCTATAATAAGGTGCAATTAAGATCAAAGATAGACCCCTACTGAATGATTTAAAAYTGAAAAAGAAGGATTGAAATCATGTCTCCTTTAAACCTATTGCTRTCATTTTTCTTTCTACYTCCTGTATCCTCCCCTCTCTCTGCCTGCTTTCTGTCTTTATTTTTTCTATAATCCGTTCTCCCCGGTGCTCAGTTTACAACACTTTTACTCATTTTCACACCTCCTCATTCCTTTGAGATTGGTTTCATTTCCGCTCCCGTTGCACACTAGCCACAGCTTTCCTTATTTCCTTTTCTTTCCCCATCCCTCCTCACCTGTGGGTCTGTAAGCATTTGCCTGTCATACAACACGCACACACTGTGCACACACAAACACAAGCAGAGCTGCCCCCTGTCTTCCAGAGCAGTGTGCTAAGCCTGTGGAGCAGATGGGCTCAGGGACTGACTGACTGAGGCAAACTGCCTCCATGTTCTATACTGCTGCTCAGATGAGAGGATGGTGTCCTTTGCACGGCCTCTCATCTAAATCTGGCCTCCCACAGACATGCCAATATAGAACCTGGCAAGTGCTTGACAAATCTGGATGCTCACAGATTACAGCAACACAGCGGCGTCACAATATATTGAAAATTTATTGTTGTTGCAATATCGTCCTGGCAAACGATTGTAATAAATCAGAAACAAACTGAAATGCTATTAGAATATTTGGCAATCAGATGGACCCCCGCCYCCCTAAATGTCTGCAGCCCATTTAGATGTTAGTGGCTGAAGWGCTGAAGCCCATGAGAAGTGTTGTGATGATATTAGAAAAAGACAAATCCAGTTCATAGCGACTGATATCATCACTGCAATCTTTAACGTTATTACAGGAGCATGTTTTTCAAATATTGTGCAGCCGTATATAAAATAAAAGGTTTAGTATTGATGATTCAGTTTGTGAAGGAATTCTGGGGAATGATAATAAACCCCTAGTTAGGTTTGAAGATTTAATTCTATTCTGACAAATAGTTTCGTTCAACTTTTTTATTCCATAAATGTATTTTTATGCTAGTATACTAGTACTGTAGTATTGTGATAGAAAATCACCACTGTGCAGGGTTTTGGTTTTAATTACCTTTTTTTAAATGCTCCAACATTGAAAGGTGTCAAAAAATATAAATAATTTAATTTGTGCAGCCAGTTTGTTTGTTTGCCTCATCTCATTTAATGCCTTGTCTGCCACTCAGACTAATAAAAGAAGAGGGTCTGACTTGTAAGTCAAGAATCGTTGGACTGGAATGTCTCTGACTTGAACTCGCTCGCTCGTGAAATTGAACACTTCCTTATGAAAAGTTTCAGAAAAAAAAGGCATGAAACCTGCAGAAAGCATCCWGCTTTTTGAGTGTGTCGCCCTCTGGTGGTCATCAATGAGAACTYCCTGCAGCTCAGTGACAGAAAGATTGGTTAAGGTCATAAAGTGGACACGATGCCAAACAGACTCCCCCCTCTTCTCCCATCGGAGGAGCAGATGGCTTGTCCCCGGTGCAAAAGGCAGGGAGCTGCTGCCACCAGACGCTCCAAAGACAGGGTGTAAAAATGCACACAAACACAAACACTTAATGGTTTGTTTGGATGTACATGAAGGAGTATTAGTGGAAAAAAATACTTATTTCTGATCTTTTTTCCACCAAGATAATAATAATAATCTGATCAACTGTATTACTTCACGTACACACAGTGCGTCTTTTATTAAAGACTGAGCTTAAATCTTTGATTTTTTTTAATCAAACAAACACTCTCAGTCTGTTCCTGACATTTCCCTGAAGTTGCTGCCTAAACAATTAATGGATTGGGGGCTGCATTTTGGTTTGTCTGCAAATCCAGTTATTGTAGCTCTAAGGACCATTTTTTTATTGGCATGCCTGCTTAACTCGCTCCTAAACTGTTTTATTTTGTTTCGTTGTTTTTTGCAAGCATTGCTTTTTTAAGACACAAAACCAAGACATTAAATTATCTGTAAGTGTTTGAGCATTTTTAAACATTTATAAACACAAGTGTCATTCAGTTGTATCAGTGAGTTGACATGTCTTGACTTCCTTCTGTCTTATTCTATGTGTGATCCACAGTGAACATTAAAAGATGATATCATGAAACCACTAARCTTTGAAAGAGAACACATCATCCGCAGCCTTAATGCCAAAGATTTAAACAGATTTCATATGAACGCTCAGAATACATGTTGGGAATGAGTCTCAGCTACTACCACTCTAGCCTGGTTTAAACCAGACCCTGTCCTTCACTTTGCTTCGTACAAGGGTCTGGACTTGATGCATAGAGAAGTGATTCTTGCAGGAGGTGTGGCCTCTGCTGAAGCATGGGTGTGTTGTCGCTGTGAAGGAGGCTAAGCTAAGAAGCTAAACGGAAATTGCGTGCGCTGTAAACAACCCTACTGAGAGGATAAAAGTACCGAGCCAAACGAGATGGCTGTAAATGAGAGCTGCTGCTTTGTCAGACAAATMTATTTTAATTTGGAAGCCTTATCAACACAGACTGGCTTCATTCACTCCCTCCACTGCCGTGTGCTAAAAGCAGACACTGCGCAGAAAATCAACCTCATTCAAAGCTCCTTCTTCTGTTGCTGATTGGCCCAGGTAAAATAAACTACAAGCTGACATTGCGCAGAAAATTGACGTTCTGTTCTCTGATWGGCCCGGCTAAAAAATCTGCCAGCAAAATCCATCTCAATGGGAGAAGTCCCAGACGGAGCAGGGAAGGGAAACTAGAATTGAGCGGAGCTGCGTAGGAAGGCAAGGGCCAGGCTACGACCACTCCAAATTGTAGCTCAACATCTGTTGTAACCGTTTTGAACTGAGTTAGCTCCTAAAGTTTATCTGCTAAAGATATTCATCCAGTGGTTATTTTATGATAATTTAATAAAAAAAATCTGTCTGCTGGTTCATAAGATATTTTGMTATRYGACAATGTTGACACTAATAGTTAATGCCAAAGTTTTAAACAAAGATCTCASACAYTTTGTCAGTGCTCAGGATATGTGTTTGYGATGARTTCCAGCTACTTTCAAGCACATTTTTAGCTCAYTATTTGCAAAACTGACTAATTCATACTKATTTTTGCTTTTGCTAAGGTCATTTAGCCATGGTGGCAATCTTGAATGGGGTTGACACTGAAGTGCCCCAACGCAGCTTAATAATCCAGGTAGAAAATTTTATAGAAGTTGACCAGGTACTCTGGACTCTCTTCTCCAAGAGACTTCCTCAGTCTGATGACTTACAGGTAAACTCAGCCTTATAAGCAGCATTTCCACATGGTGAACAAACAAAAAAAGGGGACCATCAACCTAACAATCATAACCTGTAATTCCTCAGACTGAAGAAGTCTTTTGGAGAAGAGTCAAAAAGTTTTACCAACAAAGAAGAACCCGTCCAGAGGACTCACTCAAKTTTTTTAGTTGACACCAAAGGTCAATCAGTTGTAGATGTATCTGCAAATATTAATTTCAGAGAGTGTCATTAAATTCCATCTACTGGTTCATGACATATTTTGCTACATTACAAACAGACACAAGTATTACACCATCACCCACCCCGCGCAGCAGTGGGCAATAAATATCAGCCAGCTCTGCTTGTCAGACAAGCCTGCCTCCACCAAACCTATCACTGTCACTTTAAGTCACAGTGCTTGACATATTAAGGAGAGTGCGCCAGAGCTGAGTGGCGTGTCATGATGGGATACAGGACAGTTAGTTAATGTTGTGTAAAAGGATTTAGAGGATTTGACCCTATCGGCAGAGAAGGCGTTTGGAAAATCTATGTTAATGACTAAATGAGTCAGTGTCTGAAGCCTATTAATAATGATAGCATAAAAGCCAGCATTCGATTCAAATGGCGAGGAGTTTTTTTTTCCTCTGCAAAATGCACTGCAAGAAGTGTGGGAAAATAATGGAAGTGCGAGCATTTTGTAAATGTAATGTAACAGGAAAATGTGCTTTTCYGATCAAACTGACCTGAGTGAATGAATGCTGTGTTTTCTTTGCCAAAATATGAAATGTCTTTTTTTTCTTRATGATTCACATTCACTTTATTGTCATTTTGGAATGTATTAACAGCAAGGACTCATTTTTTCTCTCCGATGACAAGAAATACTCTTCTTGTTGCATCACCAGGCAAGCCGTTGCAACAGCTTGACCAGAAAATCGGGGCGATTTACCTGCCAATGCCTGCTACCCACCTCCCACTGGTCAAATCCTTTTTACTGGTTTCACTCTGACAGTGGGCTCATCGTCCTTGGCTCACTGTGGAAAAATACAACAGGAGCTTGGTCACTAGCAGAGATACCCACTGTGGGGAGAGAAATGGATCAGTGGAAAAAGAGAAAAACGTGCTTCTATGTGCTTCTAATTTTAAGAGTTTTCAGTGTTAATGTTAGGTTTAATGGCAGTAAAACTTATCCAAAATCTTACATTTGTTCTTGTCCACAATAATAAAAAAAATTGCACTGATAAATGTTCAGATTTGTTTCCCCATGTATGTGATTAGTCAGAAATAAGGAGATATTTGTTCTCTGTCTGCTGCTGTGCACCACATAAAACGATGGAGTGTCTGTCAGCGATTGTTCTCTTACTGATAATGTATTCGCTGCCCCACAAGCCACAGCTTGTCCTTGTTCCACATGTTGTTGTTTTCCATTTGCATGATATTAGTACAGATGTTTTCTGTAGGAGGCAACAGAAATGTCACTCACAGCACTGTGTTTGCTTGAGTTGTTGTAGTTTGGGTGGAGTGGATGTGTTTGTGTGGCTGAGCTTATTATACCCATGATTGTTTTTATTTGAATTTATAACCAGTCATTTTTGTGTACTTCTGCCTTGTTTATCTCTCTTTCCAGGAATCACCTCAAAGGCCATCTGACATCGCTACTTGGCTTGGAGGTCTTCTAGAGGGTTGGACCTCCTGCCATTATGAAAGGGTTGGGAACCAACCGTAACAGGCACCTGTCTGATTCCTGTGAACCCTCTACTGGCCATTCAGAGGCTCTTTACCCACAGAAGACCAGCACGCTGCCACGCAGCCCTTACTTGCTTAGCCCCACAATGGACCACTATGGCTCCATGGACCCTCGCCTTTACCCTCCAGTCAACCCAGGCTCCCTACCAGCAGACTGCATGCTGCCCCTCAACAATCAGCTGTCCAACAGCAGCACCTTTCCAAGTATCCACTACAATTCCTATGACCAGTCTGATTTTTCACCTCCTGGGGACAGCATTGGAGGGATTGGCACAGGAACCATGGGGACATCTTTGTCCATGGGAATGGCAACGGGTATGGGCATGGCAGGGCTGAGTGGACGCACACCTATGATAACAAGTGGCTCAGCGACTATATCACACCATATGACTAAGAACCAAGCACCTCCTAGTTTGCTGGAGTTTGAAAAGCAGCTACCCGGAGGTCGCGACGGATTCAGCACTTTACAGTTTCACAGAACGTCTGCTGCTGCCAAGCAGCGGACCGACAGTCCTGGACGCATTCGTTACATGCTTCACTCAGTTCAAAAACTTTTTGCCAAGTCTCAGTCAATGGAGAGCCACAACATGAAAGGAAACGTCAACGGGCGATCTACTGGCAGCGGCGGAGGRTCGTCTAGCACCGAGGATGGAGGGAAGCATCATCGCAGAGCCAAAAGTAAAGACCGTGCCACAAAATCAGAGGCAACCAAACGACGGCCAAGGTCCAACATGTCGGGTTATTGGAGCTCTGATGATTTGGATAGCAGCGATTTGAGCAGCTACCATAACTCCATGGCCATGATGACTCTGAGGCATCCTGGTAGCCATGACAGCCAGGGTAAATACATCCACAGTGGCTACAACACCATCAGTTCCTCTAAAAGCATCAATGACATGAAGTATCCGACTCTTCCTGGTCCAGAGGCTAGAGGGGTTGGTGGACTAAGTGGAGCAGGAGGTATGTTAATCAATGATAGTGACTATGTGAAAGGTGGGTCTTGGTCTACGCTGACAATGGGCCAACCAAGACAGGTGATACAGAAGGGCTCAACTACTCTGGACAGGTCCATGCTCAAGTCCAAATCCTGCCAACAGGAACTGACCTGCAACTACCTGCAAGTTGGARGCAGGGTGAGTATGCTTTAATGGTGTTTGAAGAAATCTCCATTTTGTGCATTTACGAGGTGTTTACTGTGGTATTTATCCAAGTAACGATGTTGACAGGGTGATTGGAGCAGCACATTAGGTCGCAGTGGAGGCTTCAATGAAATCCCGTGTCGGCGGATGCGCAGTGGGAGCTACGTGAAGGCCATGGGAGACTTGGAAGACAGTGACGACTCTGAAGGAAGCCCAAAACCCTCGCCCAAAACTGCTGCTCGCCGCCAGAGCTACCTCAGGGCTACCCAGCAGTCTCTGAGTGACCAGCTGCCTCCACGCAAGTAAGAGGGAAAAACACTGAGCTGTACCTGATAATGCAACGTAAGACGCATGTTAAAGATCCAGTTCATACATAAAAARGAACTGGGGAAACCTCTCAGTAATGAAAAGGAAAGTAGTATTCCAGTAAARTTCTGCACGTAGAGGAAAGGAACAACCTAGCTGTCAGAGTGTGCAGAGCGGCTCAGGCACACAGCGTCCATGCTGGGCTTACTCACGCATGGAAGTGGTGTCAGGCTCCCTGTTGTTGTCCACATGCTGGTTACTACCATGCCTCATCTCTGATACATCGTTCTAAACTTGACCCCACGAAACATCAACCTAGATTTAATAGTACAAGTCYTTTACACAATCTGACAGTGACTTTAATTTGGACTCACCAATGGAATCGGCTTRATCACTCTGGCCGCTGGAGAAGGCACCTCATTTGTTTTCTGAGGCACATATGTTGCACAACATGTGATGTAGACGCAGTGGGAGGGGGYACCAGCCTGTTGACATGTCTTACATTTTTGATCTAAGACAACATTAAATAAGCATGAATGACACCTGTCAGGTTTTGTTTTTTAAGGTTAAACGKGTATTAATAATTTATCAAAGGAATCACTGAAGCAAAAACTTTATATAGTCGAGGTATTGTCTTGCATAAAATACATTTACATAAATTTTATAGTTTTTTGAGCTAAATCTTATGAAACAAATCCACCATAATTACACACAGTTAACATACACTGACCATTTGTTATTTGGTTTAGTGGTTGAGCATGCCTAACTTGCATGTTGCTGATTGTAATCAGATTTTAAATGTTTTAATCAAAACTTTGTTTTGGTCGGGAATATCAAATAAATACACAAACAGCCTGTCATTTGCCATATTTCAAAGTACTGATTATGTAACCTAACAGCTTGCCATGCCATTGATTTGAGTTAAACAGGCAAGCTGRTGCATCTGAACAGGAATTCATGACGTTTGATGTAGAATGTTTAGTTAGAAACTTCCTCTGCTTCAGTTCAATAATGTGTGCATCTTTTTACTTGGACGTAGTGATGACCTGTTGCTGATATTTGTCATGTTCTTCAGTTTACCTGTGCCAAACTTCTGCCCCATGACATTTCAGTAGGAGTACATGTACTGTATGTACTGTACATATCTCTGTGAAAATAGGTAGACAGTGAGATCATAGACATCTTCTCCRTTTGCAAACATAAAGTCATTTTTATTCAGGTGTTTAGGTTTGGTTTAGTCTTTAATAAGGCATGATTCTTTAGATGACTAACCCTGATACACCAGTCAGTGTCTGATCATCCAACCTTACTTTCTTCCACTCTGCGCTGATCGGCGCGAGCAGCAGAACCCTGGATTACTCCTTGTTGCAGGGGGAGCTGGACGCCCTGTGGTCTCCACTCCACAGTGTGTCCTCCCTTCACCAGCTGGGCAGGTCAATGAGCAGGTCAGTCARTGGGTCTGTCTGCCTCTTCTCAGGAGGGTGGTGCAAAAAGCTTTTTGCTTTAGACTATTTGTCATCCGTGACTTTGCGCTGCTCTTCTCGGAAAGGCTTTCAGCAGAGGAAACTCCAAGTTTCAGATTCATGTCCTGCTGCTAACAATGGCTAACTTCTCTTAAGCTTGTAAATACCATCTGCTCAGTGCTTCTGGGTTTAAGGAGCATAGCTCGAGTCTCAGAATTTAGGAAATAAGAGGGCATCTGTGTTCACATACCATGCCGTGTTAARCACTACGAACAGAAGAATACATAAACTTTTATTTTTATTTCATTTTGTCTGATTAAAATGGTTCTTTTGCTTTTGGCACCACGATGGCACAGAACACGTACACACCCTGTCTGGCATCACAGGCATTTCATGCTCAGATGCTGTAATGACTGATCCAGGAATTATTTGAACCATAGACTATATTGGGACTTGTGATCATGGATAGAAAATGTGTAAAACTGCAGACTTGATCTCCTGTTTTTTTCTTTCAATTCCTGATTTTGCAGATCAATCATTTTCAGCTCCACATTGTGCTGCTTATCAGTAATGTTGTGAGAACATAAGGTTCATCCTCTTTTCTTTTTTATTTTCTTTTTTTTTGTTTTGTTTTGTTTTTGTTTTTCACTTATCTCTTCGATGTTTTTCAGCTGTCTTCCGTCTCTCAGAGAGATGTCCAGTAACCGCAGCCTGGACAACCTGGACTGTATCGGAGGAACACCGTGGGATGACGACAGCTTCAGCCAGGCCTGCAGCACTTTAGGCAGGCGGAGTTGCATAGAACAGGTTGGTTTTTACTTCAAAAGATAAACTTTACCAAAAAAGAAAATTGTTTGCAACCTCAATAAAAGTACCACCTATCATCTGTTTGACTCTGTTCAGTTTCATTAGTACATCTTTATCTGATCACAACACATCACTTAGCCCTGAGCGCACTTTCTTTTTCAAAAGACCAGATTTTTTTTAAATGCTGCTTTGAGCTGCACCCTGTAATTTATGTTTTCACAGGTTCAGTTGAAATGACTGCAACATAATGAGTTCTGTGTGAACAAAGCCACCCTGTTTCCACCCGTRTTGTGTTAATGTTATTACCCCAAGATAAATGAGTGGCATTAATGGTTCTGTTTCATCCACTAACAGAGCAGCTATTAGTTTCTTGATGACAGAGTCACTGAGATGAAGATCAGCTGTGTGAACTCATTCAGATTTTCCTCCATTAAATGGATCACACACACACACACACACACACACACACACACACACACACACACACACACACACAACAGACACCAATCACTTCCAAATCGCTGCATTACAACAAAATTGCTCTGCATCTTAATCTGTCACTTAAATATGCATGAACAGCAGCGAAGCAAACCAGAATTGTTCATGTCAACTTCTTTTATTTTTTACTTTTTTTGCATTTTTTCAAAAACAAAAATGGTTTAAAAAAAAGAAGAAGAAAAAAAGACAATTAGCCGCTGCAGATCTTTTGCGTGGATGCAGAAAATGTGAGTGGGCGTATCCGCCTCGTCCTCTGCTTCGTTTTTTTTTTATCCTTTTTGGTTCTGACTCTTTCGTATTTACTTCCTAATGTTCTTCCCTTTAGCAGTCTGAGTCATCAAAATGTCKTTATCACTAAGTCTTGTTTCTGTCAGTGAAAAGTACAAAGCTGGTTWATAGTTCTCCTAAAAGATGCTTCACAGATGGTTGACTTAAAACTGTAAAAGCATGCAGAGGTTGTATAACATCTTCACAACAACCGATGGGCATTTATTTCATCTTAACAAGTTTTTATACCAAATCTAATCTGAACTCCATCTGCATTAAACTTATCCTTTCTTTCTCCCCCCACCCCTTTTTTTTTTTGTCTAGCTACAAGATTTGGAAAAGAGTCATCATTACGAGAATCGAAGCTCAGAGTCTGCCTTCAGAGATTCCCATTCTCAGGACCACTCGGAGCCTCCGGATCTGCCCATGCCCACATGCTTCCGATCCCGCAGCCACAGCTACCTGAGAGCCATCCAGGCTGGCTGTTCCCAGGATGACGACACAGCTTCCATAGACTCGGGCTGCTCTCCGCCTCCGARCGACTCCACCGTTAGAACATACAGCACCAGCACCGGTGAGGGCTCTTCTTTTTAAACCTTATTGGCTGCCAGTTAAAAATGTATTGATGTCAAACACATTCACACTACTTATCTGCTTTTTATTTACCCCATAAAATGTAATATTTGTCACATTTGTCACCCCTTTCTATTATTACACATCCTTGTGGGCCAGCTGACTCCTTAGGTTTTGCATTTCTCCTAACCTCCCTTTAAATTCTCCGCACATTCTCAACACACAACTTGCACACAGCAGATCAAATTCAGCCTTTTTTGCCCATATTAGACATCCAATGGAAGACATGGAAAGAGCAGTTTGCCTCTTACCTGATAGCCACTGGCTTGGACAAAGCCCCAAAGGAGAAACAACTTGCAATTTTTCTGCAGCGTTTTGGGACAGACAGACCACGCATCCTACCCACACACACAGGTAACGACTCAAACCAACTTCCCCCCCGAAAAGATCCTGTCCACTTACCACTCCTGGGGCTGATAATAAAAAAGAAAGCAACATTTAATTAAAGATTTACCTTTGAAACAAACTTAAAGGACAGCTGTGAGAAGAGTGCGACTGCACTGATAAATAAAAGGGAAAAAACATAAAAAACTGAAACAGAATAAATCTAAATATGTGAAAAGACATATTTGGCCGAGGTGACCTAGAGAGGAAAAATCTGGTAAATATAATAGATGGATAGTTTATTATTTATTATTTTTATTATATATTTGACTGCTCTACAAATTCAGAACTGCTGTTTATTTCCTGCTTCATTTTTGTCATATCCTAAATCATCCACTTGYTGGCGCTCTGTACTACTTTTATTTAAAAGATCATAGAGCTTGTAAAAATTTTGTATTTTGCTTGTAAATTTCATGCAAAATTTTCACATGGATTTATTTATTCATTCGTTTGTTTTCTGTAGTATTTTAAAGGATGTTGAGATTGATTAGATTGTTTTATCCAGTAGATAGAAAAATGGCTGCTTTTGTTTGTTTRTGTTTTTATTTGTCTCTTCGTATTATGAAGGTAATTTTGCTGTTTTTATTATTCAATCAAACAAAAAAGTAGTTTCAATCAGCTCAATACCCCCCCCCAAAAAAAACTATTAATGTAACTAAATTGTAATGATAATTTTTAAATAAAAACGCAGTAGTTTGCACCAACGTCTTACTATCATTTAACTTTGACTTTAGATTATCCGAGGTGTCCCTGAACGCATCAGTCAGTATATAATTTAACTTTGGTTTTAGATTATCCGAGGGATGGACACAGGGAGAGGCTCGGTAGAGGGAAAGAAGCAGAACGGTGAATGGTTAAGAATTATAAATCTAAAGATGAAGATGAAGAAAGAGAAAGGAAAAGAGAAATAAAATCASTACGAATATCTGGAGGTCGGCATCGAGAGAACATCCAAGARGCTATTGGAAGATCTGGTGGATTGGTGAAAGATTTGTTGACAAAATCAACGGCGGGTAGGCACAGCTGTACTGTGAATGGGCCAGAGGGGGGATAGTAAATAAGGAATACGGGAGTAGTGATTCTTCAGATCGTGAAAAAAATGAGTTCTAAAAGAGGAAATTCTTCTGCGGCTGCAGAYTCAAGAAAGAAAGGAAAAGTGGTGACAAATTGGGGGGAATCTGAAGAAGAAATGGAGGAGGAGGTAAAAGAGTTCAAAGTAATTGTGKGGTTTAATGAGGAGAATGGTGTGAAATCGATTAACCCAGTTAAACTAACAACTATTTTAAAAAATCAAGTGGGTGAAATTGCTAATGCAAAGATCTTGAGAGATGGAAATTTGATGATAATTTGTAATACAAAAGAACAAAAAGAAAGAGCTTGTAAGATGAAAGAAGTAGGAAAATATAAAGTAACAAGTGTGAGCATTGTTGAAGAAGGTCGTAAATGGAAAAAAGGAGTGATTTGAGGAATTCCAGTTGAGATTTCAAATGAGGAAATTTCAGAGGGGGGATTAAAGATGTAAGAAGACTTCAGTCCATTAAAAATGGTGAGAAAAGGGACACTGAAAATATTTTGATAGAGTTTGACGAGGAAACGCTCCCAGCAAAAGTGTAAATGGGGTACATGGCTTACAATGTAAGAGATGTCCCTCGACCACTTAGATGCTTTAACTGCCAAAGATTTGGTCACACAGCTCAAACATGTAAAGGAAAAAAAAAGATGTGCAATGTGTGGAGAAAATCATGAAMATGAGCAGTGTGATAAGAGCAGACAGCCAAAATGCTGTAGTTGTGGTGGCAGCCATAGTGTGGCGTATGGGAAGAGAGAGGTGCAGATACAACAGGTTAGATACTCTGACCCACACTCCAGTACAGTAGATGGCGATAATGCATCTTAAAGTTAGATGCCAACCGCCAAAAAAAAATCCAAGAAGAATAATAAGAAAAAGATTTTCCGAGGCGTCCCCGAACGCATCACTCAGCATGTCACCACGCCCCCCTGTGGTTTAGACTCCAAACAAAAAGCCACCAAACCACCGGCTTTTCAGCTTTAACTYGACCGACGGTGAATAAATGAAGCGAACAAGTTGGACACACAACATTACGGTGCTGTGTGTTTTTCTGCGCCTCAGAYCAGAGTAAGTAACAAATTTAAACTTACTGTTCACCCTCCTGTTGGTGCTTCTTGTTAATTTAGCTTAGTCAGCTTTTGTTACGAACAGTAACACAGTTTGTCTGATGATGAAACCACTCCTCATTGACTCTCTATGTTGTTCTAGAAATCCCATATTTTAACTATAAACTGTTATAAATGTGTATAAATGAAGACATGATCTTCGACAAATGTTTTATTTCAATGACTGCTCCTCTTTGCTTCTTGGTGGGAACACAATGAGAATGAAATCCATTTATACAGTGACATGTAACCAATAAAGCTGCCCAGTTATTTATTTATTTTTTGTGCTGTTGTTGAAGAGAGCACAAGTTAATATTGATTAGGACGATAAACATGTGATGAGAGACGGGTGATAGTTACAGGAAAGGGTGTCTGTTTCTTTAGGTCTGGTGTTAAGTTACAGATGGACAGATAGTGGACAAACTGGTAAACCAAGCATCACAGTCTGCCTTTTGTCTTTTATTATCTGCATCTTATCCATCCATGTCTGCACCTCGGATTACCTCTAAGCCAGTTAGATTGTGCTTGTTTATCATTGCTCATTCATTATCTTAAGCAGGATTTTATCACATCTTCCTCAGTTATTGAGATTGTTTGACCACCCCTGGAGACAACAATAATTATTCTTGCCCTAGCTGCAGGTGATTGAATAAACAAAAAAATCTATCTGACTAATTAAGTCTGATAAAAATCAACAAACACTTGATTTGCTTATTAAAATGTGACCAGATGGATTAAATGGCAACAAAAAAAAAAAAACTTGATTTAAATCCATAGTTAATGTACTTTTCTGACTCTAGGAGAAACATTGACAATGAACAGTGTCCAAATTCAGGGGGTGCATCCTTCGAAGGCCAAATTTGTCAGCTAATTACGTCACAGCGACGCCAAAGTCTGTCCAAAATTAAAAGCTCCACCAATTGCTGCCCACAAATGKGTCCTCTTTTGCCTTTGCTTGTAACGAGGGAGGAGTACAGTTTTAAATCCAAATCTGGCCGTACAAAATAAAACCTTTAAATCAGTTGTGTTGTTGGGCTGTTGTCATTTGCATAAACATGTTTGTCTTGTCAAAAATCAAATGAACTCGAATGGCTGGTTCTCCCTAACTTAATTTAGTTCATTTTAAAAAAATAAAATAATATTTTGCTAGGCAGCAGGACATTCGCCGGGGTAAGGGTGGGAATTTGTGGTCGATTATGGCGCCATCTCACGTACACCAGGAAGGTTGGGTCCTTCAAAGGATGCAGCCCCTGAGTTTGGACACAGCCAGAATCTGAAGCAACGTGTCTCTCAAATGTACAGATAATTTCTYTTATGAGCTGTAAAACTAAAACACTTTTATATTTGAATATCATCAAGATTGTGTGTGGGAACTGAGGCTGTGTAGCCTACTCCAAAGAGTTTAAATGATTTTTATCCCTGCAGAAAACATTGTTTTTGTTCTATTTTTCTGTTGTTTTTTTCTCCCAGAAATGACTTTCCAAACAAGCTAAGGCGACGTATCTGCAAAGCTTTAGTTAAACTTTAAAAAGTGAAAATAGAAATGGTGATAAATGTTGTTTTGAATTAGTTTTTCACCTCCTGGAGCATCTTGCAGCTGATTTTGTTTTTCTGGCCCATGTCAGTGAACCTGCAATCACAACAGAACCACTGTCCCAATAGCACAAAAACAGAAGGTTTCAGTGCCCACTCCAGATMCCACTTGGACAGTTTTGCACAGAGTGTCTGGTTGTGTTGTTGTTACATCTCGCTTCTCAGAGGAACCACTCTTATTTTTACCGAGCTGTGCTTTTTGATCAGATTTTTCCCAGTTAAAAATCAATAGTTCTTTGCTCCATTTCCACCTCTTTTCTTCTTTCTAATCCAGATTTTGACAAASTTAACATTGTTTTCTCGTGTGGCTGAGTTCTGTAAAATAAGCAAGAAAGGTAGCACTTCTTTCACTATTAGGTGTAGYTATAGGTAAGGTAAGGTATAACTTACTAACTAATTTAATAACTTACTCTTGGTATTTTGTGTTGAAGACCAACCATTAAAGCCTAAAAGTGTTAAACACATTGCAATGTTGTGCACGACAGGTGTTTTTAAAATAAATAAATAAATTTATCTTAATAAAAACTCAGGATACTTCACTACAGCTTTGACAGTTGTTTGTTTTAGCCATTATTTCATGGGTCTGTGTGGGAACTAGTTGGTGACTTAAATTTCTACGAAATTCAGCAAAATTTGAGTTAAGGGTTTGACTGAATTCAGTCTGTCTGAGACAGGGTTAGCTCATGTTTGTGTAAACATTCATTCCTATAATGAATGACTCACACAAGGGGAGCAGTAAAGCGTTGCGTTCATTTCTAGATTTGAAGTGACGTTTTGTATTTTGGACCGACTGTCCATGACATGCTTGTGTTTAGGAATGAAGACAGCCTCAGGTCTGGAGATGAGCCAGCTCGGGTGTGGTTCMGGTGTCTCTGGTGCTGACAATGATGTCAGTGTTCTGGTTTTGCTGGAATGTGACCCTAATCACTGGCGTAAGATAGTATTTAGTGTCACAACTGGCATGAAGGCCAGCARTTACAACTCATTTGGGGCTATTTTATTTGGAGTTTTTGATTTTCAAATAGGTTTATTTTAGCAGACTTGCTTTAGGTCATATGGGTTTWGTGTGAGGTATGGTTGCACAATGTTTAGAGACGCAGCTCACATCTTTTTAAAATCCTTYATAACTTCTCAACATTTCTGATCACAAGAAATAAACATTATGTGCTTTAAATAATCAATAAATATACTGACTTTCTCATATAAAGTTGTATTTTTTCTTGATGTTAACAGTTATGTTAGATGTGTGTAGTTAGATATGTAGAGTCAGACAATGAGTGGCTGTATAGGRAGGGGATTAATGTACTTAATGAGGYCAAATAAAACAATGACAATATTTAGTTTGGGGAGTTTTTAGCTTTGAAATCTGCTTTCTGTGTTGCAGTCTTGATCCAACTGTGTGGATTTCAGTAAGCCTAACAAAGTTCTTACTGTAAGGAGCTCAACTTTAAAGTTTTACCCCTTTGTGCTATATTATACCATGTGATCAATAAAGTTTTTCCATTTAATGTTAACGAAGCTACGTACTTAGTAAACACGCTTTTTCTATTACTTGTTTTTTAAACAGAATATCTAATATTTAGTTGAATACTYATTCACTCCTGGCAGAACTCTGGATATTTGTGTCTGCTAGTTATTTTAGCATACGGCAGTGGAGGAAGTGAATGAAGCCAGTCTGTGTTGATAAGGCTTCCAAATTAAA